TGCAAGGTCGACAGGCATTGTTACCTGTCGACCTTGCAACTTCGACGACCGTTGTAATTTCGATACGACATATATATAGATGGCTATGCAACAGCAGTCTGTTTGTCACGCTACATACAATAAGTAATGGATCCGATATGTGTAGTTAAATTTGATGAAAATGAAGTAAGTTTTGTTCCAGCAAGCTGCATACACTCATCAAAAAACGTGAAAATAAAAGTAAATGGTGATTATTTGTTTGTTGACAAAAATGATAGACATCGGCGTCTTCGAGGTAAACTCCTATTTAAAGGTAAGATTAGATAAAACCATATATTTACTTATATATTATATCATATTCTTCTTGACGGTTTTTAATAGGAACATTCGAGGAATGTGAAGAATATTGTGAAGGTGATACTTCTTTAACAGTTGATAAATCAACATGGTTGATTACCATTGTCTCCGAATCAAATAACAATAACAAAGTAACGGAATGTACAACATTTAAACAAAAAAAGCAAAAAAATGAATCAAAAAGACCTGAGATTATTGGAATGCAAATGAAAACAAATTCATCAATTACGATTGTTAAGAAATCAACTCAAATTGATAAAACAACACAAAGCAATCAACAAAATGCATTTGATAATCTATTATTCTTCGTGGTGTTTTACCAACACCAAATCATCCAACTAATAAATTATTTCGAACTATACTGGACATGATATATCAAGAATGTGCACAATTAGAAGCTGGTGTTACTTTTTTTATTCTTGGTGTAGGTGAACAAAATATTAAATTTTTTATTATTGCATCATGTACAGATAAACCAGCTCAATCGTTATTAACTAATATGGTCTCCCACAATGCTAATTATAGCTGTGCAAAATGCTTTACTGAAGGTACATTATAATTATTCTTTAGTTTCATTTTTCAAGTTCAAAATTTATTGCATTATTTTAGGTGAAAATTTCACTATCTATTCGAAAAAAGTACGAAAAAGTACCATCAAAGTATTCCCGTATAGAAATGATGAAGTCAGGAATAATTCCATATGCAATAATCTGGCGATCGAAGCCGAACAGCATGGCTCTCCTGTTAAAGGACATGCTGGTAAGTATTGTCTAAATATTGTCTCGGATGCCTTGATTTAACCAGGTTATTTGGGAGAGTCTTTCAGAAGAAAATTTTATATAATTATTTGCTGCATATATGTTGTGAAATTTATTTGTTTTAGCTCCGTGCCCTTTAACAAAATTAAAATATTATTCTTTTGGTGAATCAATACTCTTTGATTCATTGCATACATTATATTTAGGTGTATTTAAAAAATTTTGTTCGTTGATTTTTTCTAAATCCAAAACTGATCGTCAACAAAAATGGTCGCTTTATAATAAAATAAATAGTATTGATCAAGGGTTATCTTCTGTTAAAATTCCAACTACTACAAGTCGAAGATTTCGAACAATAAAACATATTGCACGTTTCAAGGCGAACGAATTCAGATCCTTAATGCATCACGGTTCAACAGTATTGTTACAAGCAATGTTACCAAAATATCGTCGACATTTTGCATTGTTATTAGCTGCTGTTAACATTGCTTCTAAAGATATTATTGGCAATTATGATATAATATTAGTCAAAGAATTATTACATCAATATGTAAAAGATTGGCAAAAGATATTTGGTCTTCGTCATATGTCATCCAATATACATTCACTTTTACATATTCATGAATCAATACAATTTCTAGGTCCTTTATATATGTATAGTGCTTTTAATTTTGAAGGTTAGTTTGCAGACTACACGTCGTTATTACATATAATTCTCTATCATGGATATTATCTCATTATAATGAGAACAAAAATATAGATAAATATTGATAAAGATTATTTCAATTTTTATTTGAACGATAAGTGTTTTGTTAAGTTGAAGGAAAAAAAATCATCATCAATTATTAGCTGATGCGATTATAATTACATTTTGACATCAGTAATAAAAGTAATACAATGAGTTTGATCGCTTTATATTCATTTAAGGTGTTTTAACTCGTTTGTAGCGATTTGAAAAAGACTTATGTTTTTAGAATATCATGAGTTATCAAAATTCAAAGTTAAATGAGCTATAACTACCTGATCATTTATTTCTCACTATTCTTTCACTTTCTACGCATTACACAAAAATTGCTAACAATTCAATAGGTTTTATCATCGGTTTAAAAAGAATTTTTCAGGTTGTATTTATTCTTAATTACTATCTCAGGCATTGGTCATGACTTGGTGTGCATGATCCATGGTATGACACACTATGGACCACAATTAATTTCAAATTTACAATATTATCGACAAGCTATAATTGATGTATTCAAACTTGATTATCCAGAAAAACTACTTTATTTTAATGAAAGTATTCTTAGTCGCAAATTAGTATCAAATCAAGGAATACACGTGAGAAAACGAGTGTCTTTTACAAATTATGTTGACGAGATGAAGCATTTGAACTTAATTACAAAAAGAAAATTCTTGTATCATGATGAATTAGCCATCAAACATGTTAAATATAAAACTTTATCATCCACAAAATCTCGCAAATTCGCCGATTGTTGTGTTTCATTTGTATTTGGACGACAAATTAAATTAGGACTTATTAGAGCGATTGTAAGCGATCCAAACGATAATGGAAAAATACTTATTTTATTGGAAGATCTTATTGATGAATTTGCAAGACATCATTTATTACAATTTAAAACGAATAACACAACATTCTCAACAATTCCGAATATTTACATTCGAAAACGTTCTTCGTGTCTTATTCTTAGATCGTCATCGCATATTTTGCAGAAACATTCTTTCAGATTTCTTAATAATGAAGAAACTATTGAAATAATCGAATATTCAAATCTTAAAGAGAGCAGTTGAGTGAGAGTTGTCATATTTTTTTCTAACATGTCTCTGATTTTTTTTCAACTGTAATAGATAATAAAGTATTTTGTATTTGCTCATAAAACTTCTAGTTCACACAAGAAAACTTATAATAACTGGAATTAGTTTTTCAACCATTAATAGTAACAAATTTCTCTCAATTTTTTTCGAAAAAAATAGCCAAGATTATATATTAATTTCTTTTTCATTAATAGTATTAGTCTCTTCCTATTTTTTTTCGAAAAAAAAATTATTCAATATCATATATTGAAAAAAAAATTTTTCTTTAAAAATAGTCAAGATTATATACGAAATATTTTTTTATTAATAGTAGCAATTTCCTCTCACGTTTTTTTCGAAAAAAAATTAGTTTAGATCATACACGAAAAAAATTTCATCAAAGTTTTATATATTTCATGACGAAGCGTAGATTTATTCAGGCTGAGAATGTCATATTTAGATCATCTGGTTAATGCAAGCTTCATAATCGTAAGTACATTTGTTCGAATCTACTGTTCTGCATTTATTTCCGATAGGTCTCGAGGGCTCTGGTATTCGTAAGTATATATGTTCGAATTTACTGTTATTCAATCAGTGTCGAGTGCTCGAAAATAAGTGGTGGCGAAAATTTTTTGAAAATTATCGAAAATTTCGAGTGGTCGAAATTTCGACCGCTCGGAGCCCTGCGAAACATCGACCATTCGATATTTTGCAACTTTCGTTTCACTTAGAACCTATCGAGAAAGGTCATTCGATGGGTATCGGAATAGCTTATCGAAACCAATCGAAGCAAAGACAAAAAAGGGAACGAAAATCATCGATAGTGTGGTCTTCAAGTACCAATCGGAATTTATATTTCGAGCCCTCGAGATAGAAGATATAAACTGCAAAATACTTGGAAAAGCAACCCATCGCGGAGCCCTCGACCCATCGGAAAATGGCAAACCCAGGGGTCGATTTGGAATTCCGATGCCCATCGGAAGCCTAAATCGACGCGTCGAAAAGCCTATCGAATGGTTGGTTGGGTATGTGGTAAAGATTTTCAATCAGGGTGTGGATGTGGGTGTGGGGTGAGGGTAGTGTGGCTATGGGTGTGGGTGGATGTGTGTGTGGGTGTGAGTAGGTGTGAGTGTAGGTGTGAGCATTTATCTAGCGTTGAATCATACTCACACCCACACCCACACCCAATTAAGTCATTTTTCAGGATTACCTTTACAAACAACTGTTGCTGCTCGAAACATTAAATACTCGTAATCGTTTTCAACGTTTCGACTATTTCGATTTTATTCTCCATAAACTGTGAGTTTATTTGACTCACATTTGCACACAAATCAGTACTTTAAAAATGAATAATATTTAGAGATAAGCGAACATCAATTTTCAAAAACTTTTAAAAGTACAAAGAGCAAGAAAAAAAGGCACAAAAATTTCAACGTGTAAAGGATTAAACAAAAGTAAGATAATATAATATTAATGATGACATCGGCACGCAAAAACACATTGCCATACTCACACTAAATATAGACTTCTTTGAAGTCTGCTTTTGTTCCCAGTATCTATAAGATAAATGTATCTAGACGTCATGCACTTCAATTCAGCACAGTAATCAAAAGAATTTCATCACCACGGTAATAATTGGCCGCCACTGCTCACCTGCTGGTCCTTCAATGGCCCATCATAGTATACTATTGCCATTTCCGACACAACCACGTTAATCGCTTCTGTGGCACAAACATACACTAGTGTTGAATCCGTAGCCGTGACATTGACAACAGCTGAACATGCTGATTTATCCATATATATCTCCGAATTTGTGGCATTGATAAAAGCTTCGTTAGTTGAACAAATATTATAAACTTTGCTCCCATTACTAATAGAAATATTCAGTACATTAGGACAGGATAACGCTCTCCCATAAACGATCGTCGAGTTAGTGCTTGTAATACTCACTTCGTCACTTGCACAAAAATTCACGATACTACCACCGTTGTTAGCATTAACAATAGCTTTTCGTGGACAGGGCCATGATGCATTGAGGACAATAGTAGCAGAGTCACTCATTTCAATATTGACCTCGTTCTGTGCACAAAGGTCTAATAGTCGAGTGCTATTCATACCAACAATAAATGCTTGCGATGGACATCCCGTTGTTGAATTGATATTAATAACGGATGACAATCTGCCAGTAACATTCAATTCACTAATTGCACAAATATGAGAAATAGGAATGCTGCTCATATCATAAATAATTGTTTTATTTGGACATGACCATGTTTCATTAATTGTAATGTTAGCTGAATCCTTAATATCCACTATCAGTGTATTATTTGCACAAATGTTGTTAACCTCTGTTTCATTCCAAGCTTCAACAGAAGTATATGCTGGGCAGAAAATTTTTGAATTAATATCGAGTTTCGATGACTCGCCACTTCTAATATTCAACTGATACGTTGAACAAATATCAGATATAGGAATATCACTTGTATCATAGATAACAGTTGTTTTTCGACATGGCCATGTTTCATTAGTGGAAATTTTAGCTGAATCGATAATATTGATATAGAGCGAATCAAGTGCACAAATATCAGAAATTTCTGTATTACCGGAACCAACAATAAAAGCATCGTTTGGACAGACTACTGATGAATTAATATACAGTTTAGACGAGTCACCACCTGTTGCACGCAATTCATTGATGGCACATATGTGATAAATTGGAATATCACTTCTATCATCAATAACAGTCTTATTTAGGCATGGCCATGTCTCATTAATTGTAATATTAGCCGAATCGCTAGCAACGATGTTTAGTTCATTAAGTGCGCAAATACCAGATATTTCTGTATTCCCATAACCACTAACCAACGTATTAATTGGACAAACCACTGTTGAATTAATATACAGTTTAGATAATCCACCACCTGTGACTTGCAATT